GATGATTATTATGATTTATGACAGTGTTACTATGCTAATGACATTTATTGATATTATTTGATAAGTATTTTTTATTTGGACTTGACTATAAAGAAAAATTATTTATTTAGTATTTGGAAGAAAATATCATTTTAAATATAAGGTTTTATGATTAAATAGCTATGGCTTCAAAGTAGTTTATGACTAAATTTTTGTTTTTAACTAAGAATTTTCAAGTATTATTTGAAATTTATATTCTCTACATCTCCTTTATCATTTTATACTTTCCTTTAATCCGCCGTCATAATTTTCTATGCTCAACACTCTGAAACATAGAAGATTGACAAAATTAATGGGGAATTGTATGAAAACTGCAAAATGTAGCTCCTTTTTTTTTCTTGCTTTGATAAGTTGCTCGCATTAAAAAAAAATTGAAGAATAAATGCACCAAAAAGACCAAGCTCCACCAAGTTCGACTATATTTACCGAGAGGAAAGAGTTAGCATGCGTGGCTTTAGGCTACCAAAAGACCAAGCTCCACTATATTTACCGAAAGAAAATTGTATATATAAGGTTGCAACCTTAAACTATAGAAATATGTGCGCCTCAAAAATTCAGTAGAAAATAGTGTTTCGAAGGCAGTAAACCTTTCAATTGATCATCTCGATATAATATGTATGGTACCAGAAAAAAAAAAATCGAAGTCTTAAAAATAGTTCATCTTTTAACAAGTTTATTTATTTTATGTTCTTTTTATTTTGTGGTATAACTGTCCTACTTATTTTTGGATTGACATGCATCATTTTCTTTCCCTCTCATGGCTTAAGATAATGGAACTTGTTCACAAATCATATCATCAGAAACCACGTGTCCTTTGCGTAAAAACGTTAACCACATACCAATAATTTACTTCATAAAATAGATGGATTAATAAAAGATAACCTCAAAATGATTGGATAAACCTACTTAATACAAGACATTAACGGATCTAGAAAACACTTCTCAAATAAAATATAAAAAAAAATGAAAAAAATCATGAAAAACTACACCATAACATACGAAAAAAAATTGTCATTTAAAAAATGACACGGTTTCTATGAGTTCATGTAGAAATAAGTCACCTCTTAAAAATTTGTTTTTTAGATGGATTTTTGGACTTAATTTTTAAGAACATGTAATATGTAATATGGAGATTATGAATATGAATAAATAAATAAAATTTAAAAATTAGAAATACTAATTCTATTAAGAAAACATTTAGGAAAAATTGTTTCATGCAGGTTGGACCGCATTTCTACCTATGCAGTCCAGAAAGTGTAAAGCATCCATTTTAAAGATGGATGCAAGTAGGTGTTCCATCAAAAAACAATGGAAACTAACAACCCAAATGTTTTCTTATTAGAATTATTATTTTTAGTTTCTAAATTTATTTATTTTTTCATATTCATGATTTCCATGTTAGAAATACATGTCTTTAAAATTTAAGTCTTAAAATCCATCTCAAAAATATATTTATTAAGAGACCTGCGTATCTACATATGCGGGCTTGGCCGCATAGAAATCGGGTCCAACATTTGGACCGTTAGTTTCAATTGTTTTTAGATGGACCAATTCATCTTTAAGATGGATGCTTTATACCTTGAGGACCGCAAATGCATAAATGTGATTCCCACTCCATGAAACAGTTTTCTTTTAAAAAGGAAAAGATTTTCCCTACTTATTTCTTTTTTCTTTTTGAGCTCTTAAATTATACTTCTCCTGCAGGAGCATACTATACATCTTCTCCCTTACTTAAAAGGGTTTATTTAGTCTAAAAATTTTGGGAACCTCACAAGAATTATTGGATAATTATTTTTAAAAAACTGAATTTTGAGTATTGTGATATGTAAATCAAGCCATTCAAAAATTGGAGTGTTTCTGTCATTCTTGCGGCATTATTTTTTTAGTAAAATATTTCTATAATATTTTTGCTGAGAATATACTATGCCCTCAAATGTTGAGATGTAGAAAGTATTCCTAACCGGTGTTTTACCAAGAGAGTAAATAGATAGTATCCTCCTTAATAAATTTTTTTCTTCTTTTGTTTGAGCCTTTTTTTTTTTAAGATAAATAAGTACTCCTTTTCTTTTCCTTTGGGCATTCCAAAAGTCTACTTCTTGTCAAATCAATAATGTCCATTATTATAGAGGGTCACGAATAATTGTAGGATTAGCATCATGCGATATGATTGGAGAGCCACCAATGCATGTGGACTCAATCCCCGGTCAGATTCATTTTCGTACTCAATCACGCATACATACGACGAAAAGCAAATCCTTTCTTTCTAAGGAGCCCACATAAGCAGCCTTTTGAATATCTTTTGGACCGTTCATCTCAATCAGCATCAGATCTTGACCGTCCAACTGAGTATTCTTTTTTCTTTTCAATGGCTACAGTCAATTCATTCAACCACAACAATTCATTTCAAGTCGCCATTCGACGATTAGATGAGACCACACCCCTTCTTCATATGATCAAATTTTTCAGAAATTTTTACACCATCAAGCTCCAGGCCTACTTGGTCAGGGTCACCAAAATGCCCGCATCTTCTTTTCGAGTCCATTGCTGCAACATCCAATGGTAAATGGCACATTGGATGACAATGCATTGGGATTGGTGTAGGAAAGTACAGCTCGGCACGAAAGGTTTAGGTCAAAAAGTGTTAAAAAATAAGAAATATTAAAAAAATCTCATACAATGTGAAAAGTATGTTGAAAGTAAAAAAAGAAAAAGAAAAGGAAAAAAGAGGTTAAAAAAATAGACGGTCGAAAAAATTAATTTGTGATTGGAAGTATTTTAGAAATAATAAAAAAAGTAGCATATAAACTATATTCCACGTATCCTAGATAAATTGCACAAGACTATGCATAAGGATGAGGAAAAAGTTTCATTCACACTACGTATAAATGGAAAAAACCCATTACCGACATTAGAAAAGAAAAAAAAGTCATGTGCACTATTATATGCATATACATGTAAAAGAATAATGTCCAATGTTTAGATAGTCTGAATAAAGAATATATACCATCCAATTTTTAGATAGACCGATCAAAATATATGAATAATGAACATATATCATCCAATTTTTAGATAGTCTGATCAAAATATATAGGAACTCGACATCATTTTGAGAATGGGATTGGGGTTAGAGTTGTAGTGGTATCACCATTTTTACCCCAACTAATGTCTAGGTTTCTATTCTCACCTAACACATTTAAAAACTACTAACGATTTCAAAAGTAGAAAGAGACTCTTCATCCCCATTAACCAAAATAAAGAACTCGACATCATTTTTTTTTTTGAAATGCTGGTCAAATTAATTATAATGTAGATGCCAAAACTTCAGGTCAAAAAGAAAGATAGAACAATGAAGATGACATTTTAGTTGATGTACTAGGCACAACCGGTATTGCTAAGACTATCATGTAGTTCAACTCGTGATAATTATATTTAACAAAGATTGTCTTGTCATTGACTAGACTCAAAATTTCTCGAAATTTACTACACACCCCAATTTTTTTTTCCATCCCGACAATGGACCATTCATATGAACTCCATTTTTCACCTCTTAAAAGAATACCATTATTCGAAGTTTTTATTTTTAAAACTTTTTCTCCGTCTTCTCCGCATGTATGACATCAATGGGAGGGCGTATACTTCGCGCCTTAACAAATGTCCGAGTTTCCACGATTCAGTTCAAAAGTAGTTACTTACACCATTAAATTTTTTTTGGGTAAGCTTTCTATGCTCTTCTTACAGCACAGAAGTTGTATCCTCCCTTTTATCCAACAGTCCATTCTGAATGGAGGGCTAAGATTGCCCCAATCACAATGTCACGTCTTTACACTATTTTATTTTTAATTTTTTTTTCTATAAACTATTTTGACACCAAATTTTGGATGTCCATTCCTCTATTAAACTCGCACTAGCGAAAAATATAAAAAAATATTTTCAATAAAATAAAATGATCAAAATATCCCTAAAAGATTAAAGGGGTATTTTGGTCATTATATTTTATCAAAAAATTATTTTTAATATTTTTAATAGGTACGTCTCAATGAGAAGATGGTACGTACTAAATTTAATAGTCATACAATTTGTATAAAAAACTAAAAATAAAATACTTTGAAGCGTCATATCTAAGATCAAATGTTGAGTGACTCTCTTGATCAAAATTGGATGGCTGGATGGTAGAAAGACGATAGAACTTCTTTGCTATAAGAGAAGCGTAGAAACCTTTCCCCTTTTTTTTTTTTACCTTCTTATTGGCACGCATACTACACTTGTTGGAGTGTACTATATAGTTATTTCCTTGGATTTTTTTCTCATATTTTAGTATCCACCTTGACTTTGAAATGCTTAAGTATTTATTTGATACTCTAAAATTGGGGATGTTTATTCAATCTTATATCGTTATTACTTTTCAAGCATATATAAAGTGTTATTTTAAATTTTTTTTTGACTAGTCGAGATGTTGAAGATATTACATCTAAGGGTGGCAATGGGCTAGGTAGCCCGGCTTAGCCTGATCATCCAAGCCCTTAAAAATTAGGGCTTGGGCTGCAAAATGTAGCCCAAGTGCTGGGGTACCATGACCTAAGTGCCGTGGCTTGATATAGGGCCATGACTTGGCTCACCATATTTCTCTTTACATTTTCCTTCATTTTTTTATTTTGTATGGCTTTAGACCAAACTGAATAGTGCCAAGGCCTCTTTAACCCGATCCAAGCAGGGCTGGGCCTAATCCTGTCCAATAGGTACTAGGGGGGCTAGGCTTGGCCTAGGCCCAGGCCCAGGCCTGTTTCTTACCCTAGTTACATCTCTAAAATTTGGAGTGGAGTTCTAAGGAGCATATACATAATTGACTCCTGGGGTATCACAAAAGGTTTTATCATTTTCGTTAATTTTGGGAAAAAGCATCCCGTGTTTTTCATGGTTCATGCAGAGAAATGAGCCTGGGAGGTGTGACACGGCAAGCAACAACTTTGAAAGTCAAAAACTCAAAACTCAAAGCTCAAAACAGTCAAGAGTCACCATTTTTATGTTCTTCTTTTGAAATTAAGAGAGGGAGAGGGAGAGGGAGAGAGAGAATGTGGAGAATTGCAGGAGAGGCATGGAAATCACATATGCCTCATCCAGCACCTCAGACATAGCCTCATCTCTAGGTTCCATGGGGAGCAGCAGGCAGGTCAAGGTCATTCCACTGCAACACCCATACAATTCTCCTTCTCCCTCTTCCTCTTCGTTCTTCTCATTATTCTTGAGGATTCCCTCATGGCCTAGATATAGGTCTTGGATCCAATGGGTTGAGCTCTTCTTGCCTTGTGCTCGATGGATTCGCAACTACAAGTGGCGAGAGTACCTGCAACTCGACCTATCTGCTGGTCTAAGTGTTGGCATCATGCTCGTCCCCCAGGTTGGGTTTCTCTTACTGTCTTTTTCGACATTGCCTACAAGAAATTTACTCTTTTTGTCTCGCTTGTGCAATTACAATGTATTTTCTTCTCTTGATTTGTGTTCGAGTTCTTTTTTTTTTAATCCATTATGAGCATCTGTTAAAGGTGTTGGAGTTCATGGGTTTGATTTTTTTGAATTTGGAAATGGGCGACATTTATTTTTCGTGAATTTGGGGGTCTACTGTGTCTCTCTCTCATTTCATCCACTATGAGCATTTGCTGGATTGATGTTGGAGTTGATGGGTTGTGGATGTTCGAACTGGAAATATTTGAAATTGCGGTTTAATTTTGTATTCTAGGTGCTTCAATCAATTTTCATTACTTGGTGATTTGATACAATGGCTGTGATTTATTATAGTGAAAATGTTTTTTGCAAATTGAATGCTTTCAGTGGTTTGTTTTTTTAGGAGAGCACTGGTTGAAGCTCCTTGTATTATTGAGTATTCATTGTTGTTATGTTATGGCGATATAGAGCTCTAATGCAATGAATCACTGTAGTTTGAATTTCAGATATGTATGAGTGTTGGGTTGACACATAGTTTGTGAATGTATGATTATGTGTTTGTGATGAACATTTGTCGTTTTGGGGGCATGGTTTGGGGAATGGGAGAACCCTCCTGCTTGTTGAGTTGTCCCTTTTTGAGGAAATAAGAAGATCTGGAGGTCTCTCTATGAGAGGAAAGAGGAAAAAGTGGCATCATTCATTTGTTGCTCTTTTTAAGGAGTTACATACAGAAGCTTCTAGGGGTTCTAGATACAAGTGATATTAATACTCCTATGGAAAAAAGGTGCAGACAAATAATGACTTGCATGGCGAAGATAAAAGTCACCTGTAGGAAACATTACGACACTTTTGTCATGCTAAAATTCTTTGCATGTTTAACTTGTTTCTCAAGAATTGAAATCTATCCCAGGAGATACTTAGAGAGCTTTAAAGAAACATATTGATGTGTTTTGCGTATCTTTCAAGAATCAAATTGTGTAATTGCAGTGAGGCTTGGCTAGCGCCTTTGCTACTCGTTGCCCTAAAGAAAACTATTGAGTTATAAACTATCAAGCTTGTGCCGTATCATGAAAAAATACATATACTCTGTACTTGCTTGTTAGGTTGGGTTAGAGGAAAATCTCAGAGCACCCTGATTATCACAATAGTATTTGGGTGGTTTCTTGAGGATCACTCGACCGAATTCTGTAGTCACTTTTTTCCTTATTTTACTTTCCATTTTGCTCTGTTCTTACTCATGGGCTTATGATCCTATTGATTTAACTGCATTCCCGATTCATTTCTGGCATTCTTTCATGCATTTGTTTTTCTGATTTATGGATTGAACAGTTACTCAGGCTTGGTCATACATATACACCACGATACTATATTTTTCTGGTCTATTTAGATTTGCTATTGTGGTTATGGGAGATGACCTTGAGGCCATAGGAGAATTAAAGCTACCTAAAGGGGCTGTTTGACATCAAGGATTTAGGCAGCCAGAAGTACTTTGTTGGTATTGAAGTTTCTCTATGGAGCAAAAGCATCTTCAAATGCTGGGACTACAATTAAGTTAGTTTCAAAATTGCTGACTCAGCAGTAAACGCTAATTATTCCTATCTTGATGCCATGATAGGTGATCTTTTGATCATTTGATATATAGCAATGAGCAGGCTCTGTCTCACAATTACTAGACCCTACATGCAATTTATGTGTGTGCCATATATTAAATATCTGAATGTTATCACTTGAATCCCGAAGTATTTGAAATCTCTCTCACTGATGTGCATAACCCATGGACACCCATAATGCTTAAAGTGTGGAGACATCTCATTTGAGATTATGGAATTGCAGCCTTTTAATTATATATGGCATTAAGGAGGTTTCATCCCATAATGATTTGGGCACTCCTGCCTTCTGGCCTTAAGTCAATGACCGTTTCCTAATGTTGATTCCTGTATTTTGACACTCCATTCTATTTAGGGTTATTAAGACAAAAGAATTGTTCAAGGATGTCATTTATATTCAAATAATTTTTAAAAGCATTAGAGGAATATTCGTCCCATTTGTTTTTAGGTAATTATATTTGTCCCACTTTTCTGATCAAAGGATTTTATTTATCTTGTGTGAAGTAAATATTTCCTCCCCACTGATTTACCCAAACAAAAAAAAAGTGGATATTTTCTTTATTGTTGAGCATTAGAAAGTTTATAAGAAAATGTGTTGGTTTTATGTTGAATTGTTTACAACCATGTATAATGTGTAGAATCATCCAATATTGTCAAAACCAGACCGAACCGTGCAGTCCTAACCTGGAAACAGTGGAGTGGAGGCCACTCCACTCCAGTTAACCCCCAAAGATTGGAATGGCCTTGGAACTGGCCTCTAACCGGTGGACCGGCCGCTCCCATTGTAGCCAACAAAGGTAAAAACTGTCTGCCATATTTTTTATTTTTTAACTCAAAAGATTTGTTTTTTGTTGCTTTTTGGGTACTTATGAGTAGTCATTTTGGTAAAATGAAACATTAGGTTGGGTTTTTTGTTAAAAAAATCTCTTTTTAACAGAGAACGGATTTGACACTTGTTATGAGAGAGGATTTGGCAATTTATCCTCAATGTCCTTATTAGGATTGTGCCTCTAAAGACATTCACTGAAGCCATCCATAATTCATCCTTCCTATCAACATCCAAGTCTCTGCATTATATTATAGAACTACATGCAAGGGTCAATGGAGCTGCTTATCCTACTTTGTGACTACAATCTCCAATATTGGGCCACACATGCTCTCATCATTCACGAATGCCTAGGCTATCTATCCCTTGACACGCTTGAATGCATGACATATTCATGGAAGGCTTCACCTCACTATTAACCAGATGCAAAACTTTGACTGAAGGTAAGGATACTTCAAGCAAGCACAGTATCTCACTTCAAAAAGACTTGGACAAAGCAATATCATGGACCCGCTTCCCTTAATTGTGTTTCGCCACTTCCATTAAGACCTAACCTCTTAAGTAAACATAGATTGTAATTGGTTTCTCCAATCCATTTTGCTTTGTAGAGTTCAGGATATGTGGCAAATCTTGTGTTCCTAAACCTCATTGTATGCATCTTCTCATTGAGCTTGTGCATTATGCTAGGGGTAAGTGTGTGAATGTAGATGAACAGAGTCATGGCCTTAGGTTTATCAAGTGTCGCCTTTACCTTGATATTTCTTTAATAGAATCAAGCACGAGGGCTATGGAATGGGCTGTGCATGCTGTCCAAAAATATGACCCCACTTTTAGTGCAATAAATTGGCAGCTGCAACCATGCCTGTTACCACTTGTATAATATGCTCTAGTCTATAGTGCATTGTGAACATCAATCGAAGCATCAATAGGCCTCAGAATGTTTGTTTGTAATGGACAATTCACCATCGCATTCATTATATTCGCGCTTCTCTTATCAGTCTATGATTCTGTTATGATTGAAACCCCATATTGTACTATGCATCCTGTGTGTCTTGAGGCAATCCTTTGTTAGCTGTATTTCTGTTTTTAGCTATGGCTACCTAAACTCATAAATGGTTGGGCTCTTCAACTTTTGGTCCATATTGAACAAAATCCTCCAACTTTATATGTTTTAAGGTGAGTAGCATTGCAAGCAATTCGTGTCTGATGCATCCCCCTAGTAATATGTTGACGTACTTGACTTTGGTTTTCTATTTTAAATGTCCTTTTAACAGTAATTGGTTCTTGTCTTTCTACCTTTCATGTACAACAGCCTCGGGATCAGGGGAGAAAATGACAGCCCTAGGCCTCTTCATAGCAGCCTTCTTAATCCAAATTCATTGACTCTTACTGCCTCGAGAGGAACTCACTCTACTGCGCCCTTCATCAACTTCCATATCACCACCCAACATTTTAACCCCGGCCTCCACCTCTGCTGTGCTTACTTCCCTTGCTGCGTTTTTCCTTTTTTCAGGCATCCAAATAACAATTTATCTATTTCCCAATGTGCTCGAACTTTCCAGATAATAATTTATCTATTTCCCTTGCTACCTTTTTGCTTAGGCCCTTCATAGCAAGCTTCTTAATCCGAATTCATTGACTCTTACTGCCTCGAGATGAACTCACTCTACTCCCCCCTTCATCAACTTAAGTATCACCAACAAACATATTAACCCCGGCCTCCACTTCTGCCATGCTTACTTCCCTTGCTACCTTTTTCTTTTTTCGGGCATCCAAATAATAATTAATCTATTTCCCAATGTGCACTAGAACTTTCTTGCCTAGGGCAACATCCCTCTTTGATACCATGAATGTGTTGTTTGAATCTGTTAATATTGTTCACAATAAATTGCTGCTAACTTCATTTTGATAAATTTTATCCAGGCAATAGCTATATTTCCACTTTGGATCCTTGCTACTACAAGAGCTCAATGAAGATATACAAAACTCTCAAATACATTTTGATTTAAACAAAGATGACTAACCTTTGATGCCCAATCTCCAATCCTCGATGTTTTGGATAAATATTGTGCTTTAAATCCCCCAAAATCTCCTCATGTAGCTTCTCCCAATATTTCACAGCGAATCCAATCCAAAAGAATTGGATTTAGAATGATTTCTCAATGTTGTTGGATATTTTCTGTCTCTAAAAAATTTCAACACTTCAGAATTTTAGGTTAGAATATAATTCCTCCTCTTAAGAAGGAGGAGATGATGATTCTGCCCATGCTTTTAGGAGATTTCTGCCCTCAAGAGGTCAAGCCATTTGATGGCAAGGCTGGCACCAGGATGATGTGCAAGCTGCCCACCTAGGGCTTAGTTGCCTCTTCCTAGGCGTGGCGCCTAGGAGGTGCCTGAGGCGAGCACTTTTTAATACCATGTGGATGACTGTCTTTTGTGGAGTACTAATGCCTTAGGAGGTCAGGTCCTTAGCATATATGTTTTCATGATATCATGGTCTAGACCCTTGAGTCATCAGTGGTTCTCTATTTCCATATTTAATGATGTGAGACTAATGCATCATCATATCATCATTAGAGCCTTTTTCCAATTATTTGGTATTGGCTACATGAATCCTGATATGCCATTCTACTCTATCAAGGGCCATACCTTCAGTGAGACGTTTAGGATTCATAGAAAGTTTTAGCAAAGTTTTACGTTGGCTGCTTATCTAATACAACCCACCTCCATTACCTGGGCTTGGGACAGGTTAAGGGAAAGTTTAAAATCCTCACCCTTCTTAGACCCATGTGAGGTATGCAGAATGATGATGATGATGATCATCATCCTCAATGCCTTTTCCCAATTAATTGGGATCGGCTGCATGAATCCTGGTCCACCATTCTGTTCTATTATGTCCAACATTTTCCTGTGGTTCTTGATGAGATCACCTAGTATCTTGATATGGTTGTTTCTCAAACAATATAGTGAAATCTCTGGTTGAGCAAATATGTGCTGCTGCTCATATTTCGAGAAATAATTTGTTCCAGCACAGTCCTACTTTGGAATCAAGTTGGTCAGTTTTGGTAGTTGCCCTTTCATTCATTTTGTCTACAACTTTTTTTGGTATTCCAACTTTTGTTTTTGAATTTTTTCTTACCTTTTTTTTTCCTGCATTGTGAATTTTTTTTCCTCTAAGAAATAGAATGTGATAGCTTGGAGCTAGATTAGAATGTGGCCTTTTGTGCTTTAGCATTCCTCTTGTTCTGCTTTCTTATTTGATTGTGATGTACATGTGTATCTAGTGAAGATGTCTACACATTCTTATTAAGTGCATGGTGTTTTATTTGTATTAATTTGATTACTTCGACTATGGGCTGACCTACAATTACATATGTACAGGCGATGTCTTATGCAAAGCTTGCTGGACTTCATCCAATATATGGCCTTTGTGAGTTAAATTGCTTGTGTTTTCACTTTTTCTCGTCTCTCAATTTATTTAGTTCCATGTACATGTGTATCTAGTGGCATCTAAATAGAAAGAAGATAAAGCAATCTAATACTTAAGAATATAGAAAATTCAGATGTGAAAAAAGTTCTTTCTCACCTATAATGCACGGATATGGCTTTTGATGTTGGGATATGCGGCCTTTAAAGTCATTGAGAGCATGTAAAGATTATGACTGTGGTTATTCTGTACTCCAGTGGGACTGTGGTCCACAGGGGAACAGAGAGGCATGCTTTGTGTGCCTGTTGGCTCACCCTAGTTGGGTAGTCTAGGCCCAAGAATAAAGTCCAAAACCCTTTAGCTTGGGACATAAGTTTCAAGCGTGGAGGGTTTGTAGGGTTAGTCCTTGTGGACGTGGAAGGGATGTCCAAGGTATATTAGCTAGAAGGATGATGATTTAAAATGAAATTTTAAAATGTATTAAATATTCTATTTTTGCGTCACAAGTTTTTTTGCAGAAAAATGGGAGGGATTTTCAACTTAAAAAAATTCATAAGCCATTTTAAAAATACTGAGTGGGGTTTTAAAATTATTTTGGGCTTTTGATGTTATGGGGGCCCAATGGTCACATGCCCATACGTGGGGGGCCCAAATGGTGTGGGGCATGGAGCCATGGGTCTCCATGACCCACACGCCTTTTTTTTTGGGAGACTTCTTTTCTTTCCGTCACACATAATATTACATAATGTTGTGTTTTAGAGATTGTGAGGGAAAGAGCAAAAGGTAGCTTATGAGATTTTGGAAATTGTCTCTATAACTTTGGAATTTTACTAAGATAAAATATGTTATTGAAAGTTCCTAAATTAAAAGAGAATGGTTCAAGGAAACCATAGGATAATTGTTCTAGAGCCTTCCATTCATCATGATTGTTGATTTAGGAAATGGAGTGCTGAGATTAAAGGCCTCTCTTCTTCCCATAGATCATTGTAGATCGACGATCCATGCTGAATCTTAATAAAATGGCAAACCCTAGTACTGTAGGCACCATATATAAACACTGTATTGCCCTAAGACACTTTTATGACCTCTCTCTCTCTAGTCCACATGCCCCACTCTCCCTACTCTCTCGCTAGCCCAATGGGGTGCCACACGCCTCACCTAGAAGCCGTTAGTGTAGTACACCCGTACAATAGAAACCTTAGCCCTCTTCATGTAGTGTTTTGGGTGGTATGCCTATGTGACATACAACTCTTGGTTGTGCTTTCTCATCTACTCCATCTAGTTTTGGTTTGCCATTGAAGTTTCCCTTCTTAAGGAGATTCAAAAGGGACCTAGATCAGTGTGCCATCGAGCCAGGTGATTCTAGAGTGGGGAGGGCTTAAGTCCTTTGGAGCTGATCCAATGCATCCCATTGTTCTTGATTCATTTATCAATTGTAATTTTTTATGATTTTTGTGAATAAAAGAAGAATGTTGAATGTTAGAGAGGATCCTTGAGTTGTAATTGTTTTATTTTGATTGTTTTCGCATTTTAAGTGGCACTTGTAAATCATTACATTGGTGTAGGGGCTGAAAATTTTTGTTTACAGCCACCGTGCGTGACCTACATAGCCACCTTTCATTTGATACCTTTTGAACTTTTATTTTTGTTTGTTTTATATTCCCTCTTGAAGTATGCCACGTGGTTTATCATGCTTTTTGAAGTTCGTGCATAGCATTGTTTCCCAAGCAAAAGAGGGCATCATTCAATGGTTTTATACTAGGACAAACGCAAAATATTCGGCATGCTCTCCTATTTTGCAAAGAAGAAGACAAATTGATATTGAAATTGTTTTCTCATGTCTATAATTGATGTTGAAATTGTCTACTAATACAGAAATTGTATGCTTATGTCTAATATAGTTTACATTTATAATGTACATCAAGAATCGGTCTGAATGAAATGAATTCCTGAAAGGTCCTGGCAATTTTTGCGCATCCATAAACCATATAATTCTTTGGGAGTGTCACCCCTGAAAGATGATTTAGGAAGGAAATGAATATCGAGTAAGATTGTCACATAATTTGTTACTTTAAAACTCCTGTATGGTTTTAAACCTAAAGTGCATGCCATCATTCTTCTACTATGTGTGGTTTTTTATTTTGTAAGAAAATGCAACAATCCCTATTTGAGCCATTAGGTACTGAGATGCCTCTTTCGACCTACAGATTCCGGTTTCGTTCCCGTCTTTGTCTATGCAATATTTGGCTCCTCACGTCAGCTGGCTATCGGTCCTGTTGCATTGGTTTCTCTTTTGGTCTCTAATGTCTTGAGCAGCATTGTTGATTCTTCAGACGAGTTGTACACGGAACTTGCTATATTGCTGGCCCTTATGGTTGGTATATTGGAGTCTGTTATGGGTCTCTTGAGGTATGTATGTCTAGTCTAACATATCAGCTATATGTATGTCAAATGCTACATGTCATAATGTTTTGCAATACAAGGCATATGCTTTTATGCTTCATGAAATATCTTTCTATGTTCATTTATGTATCAATATTACCAAACTTCCATGAGTATCTTTGGTGCCTCACATCACCCTTTTATGAGTACAGATTATATATATATATATATGTATTTGATAATTGTTCATATATTCTTTATTTCTTATATGTAGATGATGTTATTGCATCATTAGAGCTGTTGAATTCCCTTTTTTCCTAGTTTTAAACATGGCTAGTCCTCAACTGATTTGACTTAAACATAATCTCCAGGTTGGGATGGCTTATTCGTTTCATCAGCCATGCAGTTATTTCGGGCTTCACGACCTCATCGGCCATAGTTATTGCCTTATCCCAAGCGAAATACTTCTTGGGATACAGTGTTGACCGAAGTAGTAAAATAATACCATTGATTAGCAGTATAATAGCTGGAGTGGATGAGGTACACTTGTATTTGTAGGATGGATATGGTGCTTTTTAACATTTTATAGATTCTGAGAGCTGAGATTGGATGGCATTTTAACATGCAAACCTTGTATTGTTATGTTGATACACTGATTCTCTCTGTTATAATTGATTTTTGCATCTGAAAATAGTTCTATTGTAAAGTAATATACATTTGGCTACATCTTGACATGTTCTATGAAATTGTAGTTCCTGGCTACATTTATACTATTTGGTTATTGCTTGCAAACAATTTAGAAATGGGAAAGGTTTCTATACTTCCCCTACAGTGTAGAAGATCTATGCTTCCCCTACCATCTAGCCGTACAATTTTGATCAAGTGAGCTACTCACTGTTTGATCTTAGATCCAACGCCTCAGAGTATTTTATTTTTATTTTTTTAATACAAATTGTATGAATATTAGATTTGGTATGTGCCATCTTCTCATTGGGGCGCACTTATAAAAAATATTAAAAAGATTTTTTTGATAAAAAATAATGACCAAAATACGCCTTGAATTTTTCAGGGGTATTTTGGTCATTTTATTTTATTGAGAATATTTTTTTTTATATTTTTACAAGTGCGAGTTTAAAAGAAGATTGGATGCCCAGTAATTACACTTGGTTTAATTGTCTGGCTCTTCCTTTATAAAAGGAATTTGTGCCCATGTATTCATCTCATGTAATAGTTTCTACATGATATAGCCTGAGCTATTTGTTATTTTCTTTGCCATTCTTGATATTCCCATGAAATAAACTTATATGGGTAGCAAGAAATCTCAATTGCACGGGATTCCTGTGTTTGTTTACATTTTCATGAAATTTACTAGGCCGTCTGTTTTTTCTGATTGATGTATTTTTCTGGTTATGCATTGGATTGAAATATATTCCATTGTTATGACCATGAAGCTTGTAAAAATAAGGTTTCTTATCATGTATTGTTTCTTGAAACGGTTTTTTTCTTCATTAAACTTTGCTGATAAAGTAATTTCATATCTGCCTAGCTTTCTTGATAATAATGCTAACCTTCACCATTGAAGCCACATGTTAAATCAGTTGTCTAGTTACATAAAGATTTTAACCAGATTGGGTTTATGCCAAATGTTAACTTCGGCCTTGAAAAGTCATGCCAACTGTGCTTCCTCACTGTGGGCAGTAGATTTAGCCTGTGGACATTTCTAAAGATGATGATGGCATTAAACCTTGGAAGGAACTCCTGAATAGGGAGCTTGTAACATGATCCACAGCCTGTCCTGTCCCACAATGCATTTGGTACTAGTCAGTACCTTCGAAACTCTTACTTAACGTTCTTCTCGCTCGGTACCTTTATCTCTCTTCTACTATATAGCATCATTCCGTTGCTGCTTTCTCCCGAAATTCTTCTGGGTAGAGGGCTTCCCTCAATCTCATTTCCTCTCCATCTCTTGATCCTACTCTTACTTCATCTAACTCTTGTCCCATCACCTTCAACTTCTTATTGTGGGCAGGCCTATCCATTATCTGCTTTGTCCCTGACTATGGGGTCTCCATCTTTTCATTTCAAAATTCTTCATTGGTATCCTACATGGATTCCGTTTGGCTATGTTACACACCAGAGTAATTCTGCTACAGGATACTGCATACTTTTGGACTACTTGTTACTCATTATTGGACAGGAGTATATTCGTGATTTTATGTACTAACTTACTCTCATATATATAGTTCATGTTTATAGCAAAGAACACATGTTAATTATTGAGATCTATATTTGTTGTGAGCATTCTTTTGTGATATTTCGAGGCATGAGAATTAAGTCTAACAAAGTTTGCCTTATGTGTAGAGCAGTGCTTTAGAGGGAAGTCCTCGTGATCAACATCTAATGAGCCACTCTTTTTAGCTTAGATGAACCAAGGGGCACTTGGAGTAGGTGACTACAATACCTTTCTCCTACAACCTTCAACTCCTCAAAGTAAGGTTGGTCCCTTAGGGCGTGCTTGTGTGCTCAATGAAAAGAAAAAAAAATCATGCAACTTATACCTTTTTTAGAAATAATGTCATTGGGGTCATCACATAGAGGAAATTAAGCATGTGGATTAAGTAGATGCAACATTAAAAGGTGTAGGAATGGTAGGCGAAAGTATGTGAACGAGGTAACTCAGTTGGGGCTTGCTTCAAGGATGTTGTCTTTGTTGATGCTTCAAGGATGCTATCTTAGTTGAAGTCTATGCATCCTGATGCTTTGAATGGTTGATCATCTAAAGGCATGATATGTCTGTCAGAATCCTATGACTGTCACAGATTGAAATCACTTAATCCACTAGGTGATTCCGCCTGAATTGGCTATTGGAGAAAAAACTTCTTGACTGCGAATGTTCCTTTAAATGTAATTTTTGTTGTGGTCGTGGCCTTTAAAGGCCGTGAGAGCTGGTAAAAATCATTTATTATGGATACACTTACCCTTGGACACGTGGCACTACCAAAAGGGTTTGTAGTGGGTCATCTCGTGTTGAGGTTAGAGAGATGCCCAATGATGATTTCTAGGGTAGGTGAGCTGTGTGGCCTCCTGTGTTCAGATGTAGGTATGTGAGAGCGATGGCTAAATCCTCAACTAACTTCTACACAACATGTACATATGACAACTGTATTGTCGGGAAGCAACCTCGAAAAGGGATGCTTGTACATGTGCATAGAGAGTCTCCCTTGCACTATCGTGACATGTGCTTGACATTCTTGGGGAGGGGGGGGGGGGGTTACTGTAATACTCATTTTGGGGCTGGGGTTCTACTGCTTATTGGCTAGCTTTGATGACCCAATCATGAGCACCTGTATTAAACTGTGGTCATGGCTCCGTTGGGTTGGTTTGAGATAAATGTGGATCATGGTCATTGGGTCGGGTAGACTGCCCTTGTAGTCCCTTATTTGGACCTATAGGTACCAGTTCACTTCTAGATATTTTATTTTTAGTATTAGAAATATTTCTTATTGGACAAAGTATTGGGCGGTCAAGAAACAACATATCCATAGGATGAGTATAACTGAGATGAGAATGTTGAGATAGATGAGTGTCAAGACAAGAAATGATAGAATTCAGAATGAATACATATGAGAGTGCTTAAGTGTGGCTTCAATAGGCAATAAGATGAGAGAAAGTAGATTTAGGTGGGCTGATCATGTGCAGTGTAGGCCTAATACAATACTTATTAGCAGGTGCGATTTGGTTCAAGTGGAAGACTATGAAAGGGCAAAGGGAAGACCCTAAGGACATTAATAGAAGTAGTGAAAAAAGATATAGTGACTTTTGGTCTTACTGCAGGTATGGCACTTGATAGAGAAGAATGGAGGAACACGATTCATTTAGTGGACTCCAAATAATTAGAATAAGGCTTGGATGATGAAATATTTTTTATGAATCTAAAATTTTTTCAAAAGTTTTTAAAATTATTTGCTACCGTAAATTTCCTTAAAAATGGTATTTTCAAAATATTACTTATAAAGAAAGGCACATGTGGGGCCCTTGGATCCAGTCTCACATGTGTGCCACCCTCATATGGGTGTGGTGTGGAGCCCTTGGGACCCACTTATCTCCCATGAGAGTGCCACACCTCACTCCTTGTTTTAGAAGTTTTTTTTTCCGGGTAATTCAGTGGGGAAGATAGGCCCCTTCCCATTTTTTTCCAGTAGATTAAGAGTTAGCTTTTTGAAGGTATTAGTAGGGCGCTATTAGTGGTTAGAATGGAAACCACAATGTGGTGATTAGGGTGTGGGGTGCTACCACCATGACCCTAGCCCAATTTAAATTAAGTTAGATACATAACCTTTTAAAAGAAAATAATTTAAAAGAAATATTATGTTTCGTATATTTGTGGTAGTTAGTATGACCTTAATATTATCTTTGACTTCCTACAATTTTTTGAAAGAAATATTAGGAAGTTCTAGAAGGTTTTTAAATGGTTTGATCCTAAGTAAACTAAAAGTGGATATAGATGACAAAATAAGGGGATAAAGTTCCTTATATTCTTCCCTAAATCATGATGACTGATTTGTATAGATGGCTCAGATTTATTTCTTTCACCTCACTTTTTTTCTTAATTCCTATTGGTTAAGGTGACTCATAGTTTGATAGACATACCTGGGGGGTTGAGCCCTATATAAAGAGGTGAACCCCCTTCTCGTTGTACACAATTGAAGCCTCTCTATCTCCTCCACTCCCCACTCTTTCTCATCCCTAAAGTTCTCTCTCTCCCCTATTTCCAAAGTGGCACACCACTTATAGGAAGGAAAATATAGGTGGCATGCCAAATCTTAATTAGGGTTTTGGAGAGAAAGGAGGGGTATGACCAGCCTAGGAGGGTTTATACCTTCATGATATGCCCTAGTTTTTTACTAATGGTTTCCTATAAACCCTAGTTGTCTTTGTGTGCTCTCTAAAACCTTAGTTTGAGAGGGTATTGTTTAGACAAATTTCGCGGCTCTAAAATTCCAGCAAGACTAATAGGATCAAAAGTGCACAATTGGTTTGAAAATCAGGTGTGGGGTGTACCAAGTCTCATGGGAGTAACACTAGGCACAATCAAGTAAGTCGTCTTGGCTATTTACTTTTATTTACAGTCATATTTCCATATTTACTGTGATTTTTCAAGAACATTATGTATATTTAAATTGTTAGTGGAAGATTGGTTTTCATTAGAGTGAGAAATCATGAGACGAAGATCAATTGGGTGCAAATGGCAATGAAGTTCAAGCGTCCCCCCTCTAAGAGGTGGTGTTCGCCCACTGACTGGAGCAAGATCTACAGCCTGTACCCTCGCACCTCTTCCGCTGCAGCCCCCTCCCTTTCTTCCTCTCCTCTAAACCTACCCCATACGCTTCCCTCGCTTCCTTTTTCTACCCCCTCTGCTCCTACGGTACCGCCCATCGTTTCCTCAACCTCCCAACCCACCTACGCACTGGCGGTGCTGTCCAAGCCCGCGGGGCATTCTGTTGATGCAGTGAACCACCCCCATACCTGACCGTCTACCC